TTGCCATGTTGTCCAAGTTGGTCTTGTACCCCTGGGCTCAAGTGATTGTCTCACCTCATCCTCCCAAAGTGCTGGGATTACAGGTATGAGGCACCATGCACAACCCTTTCCTTCTTAGTCACACAAGTATTGCACTCTGGCAGAGGGAAGAGGCAGCTGCAAACCATAGGCTAGAGAGCCCCATTACCTCTGAACATTTCTCATGTACAATGAGATTAATTTCATTCATTCAACTGATGTTTATTGAGTACTTTGCTCTGTGTCAGGCAAGATGCTATGAGCTGAGAATATGATATTAAAAGGGAAAAACTGATTCTACCTTTCCTGCCCTGCCCTCGTGGATTTCAATTCCAATGGGGAGACAGACATCGATCACATGATCACCTAAATAAATGTAAAAATATAACTGTGATAAGCGCTATTAAGGAAAAGTATGTGATGTTATGAAATAGTGTAATAGAGAAACTTTAGTTAAAGAGACTGTAGAAGACTTCCTGGAGGAAGAAATGCTAGGAAATGATGAAAGGAAGCAGTGCTCAGAGTGAACAGCATGATGTGCAAAGGTCCTACAGTGGAAGGAAGTATGACATCTACTAGGGTTTAGATTTTTTTTTAATTTTTATTTTATTTTATTTTATTTTTAGAAAGAGTTTCGCTCCATCTCCCCAGGTCAGAGTACAGTGCCTCAATCTTAGTTCACTGAAACCTCCACCTCCCGGGTTCAAGCAATTCTCATGCCTCAGCCTCCTGAGTATCTGGGATTACAGGTGTGCACCAACACACCCAGCTAATTTTTGTATTTTTAGTAGAGATGGGGTTTCACCACGTTGGCCAGGCTGGTCTTGAACTCCTGATCTTAAGTGATGCACTCACCTCACCCTCCCAGAGTGCAGGGATTACAGGCATGAGCCACCTCGCCTCACCTAGTTTGGACGTTTGACCAACGTCTGAATCTCATGTTGAAATTTGATCCCCAATGTTGGAGGTGGACAGAGTGAGAAGTGTGTGGGTCATGGGGGCGGATCCCTCATGAATAACTTAGTGCCGTCCTCACAGTAATGAGTGAATTCTTACTCTATGAGTTCCCGAGAGAGCTGGTTGTTAAAAAGAGCCAGGCACCTCTGCTACTCTCTCTCTCCATGTGATCTCTAGACTGGCTCCCCTTCTCCTGTGCCACAAGTGGAAGGAGGCTGCGGCCCTCACCAGAAGCAGATGCTGGCACCAAGCTTCTTGCACAGCCTGCAGAACTGCGAGCCAAATAAACGTCTTGCCTTGTAAATTACCCAGTCCCAGGCATTTATTCATAGCTATGTAAACAGAGTAAGATAACATGTTTGAGAGAAAATGTCAGAGTGACCAGAGACAGCTAAGATGTCCTAATAAGAGCTAATGTTTATTGAGCAAACATTTATTGAGCTAATATTTATTGTACCTACTAAGTTAATCCAAGCACTTGACGTTGATCCTCATGACAATTCTAATTGGGAAATACTATTGTTACCCCTGTTTTACAGATGAAGAAACTGAGGCCTAGAGGAGTGAAGGAACTTATGCAAGGTTATCCAGTTAGTAAGAGCTACAGCTGAAATTAGGATTAGTTGGAAGAAGTAGGAAAGGACCAAAATGTGCAGTGGTTCACGGACCAGGTTAAAAGATTTTTATGATAAAAGAAATAAGAAGTCACTGAAGTGTGCATTTTATTTCAAAATGGTTACTCTATTTGCATTTCAAAAAGGTCACTCCAGCTGTAGCACAGAGAAGTAGTTGAAAGGTTGGGGAGAGTGCATACTGAGAAACCAGTTAGGAGATGACTGCTGTTGTCTGGGCAAGAACTGACAGAAGCAGTACTAGAGAGTTGGCCCTGGGTTGGACATGGTGGCTCACACCTGTAATCCCAGCACTTTGGGAGGCCTAGGCGGGTGGATCACTTGAGGTCAGGAGTTCGAGACCAGCCTGGTCAACATGGTGAAACCCCATCTCTACTAAAAATACAAAAATTACCTGGGCATGGTGGCACACACCTTTTGTCCCAGCTACTCGGGAGGCTGAGGCATGAGAATCGCTTGAACCTGGAAAGCAGAGGTTCCAGTGAGCTGAGATCACACCACTGCACACTCCAGCCTGGGTGACAGAGTAAGACTCTGTCTCTAAAAAAAAAAAAGAGTCGGCCCTGGAGAAGGGCAGAGTGGTTGTGTCTGAGATAAAGTGGATGAGGAGGGATGATGGCATGATAGGGAGCAGGTCCTGAGGATGATCCTTGGGTTTCTGGCTGGTGTCACTGTGTGAACAGTGGGCAGTGGTGTCATTTTCTCATGCAGAGAACACAGGAAGGAAGAGGAGCACACCTGGGTGTAAGGAAGAACGTCATGAATTGGAGGTATTTTGAGACATTTCCACTGGAGATGTCAGAAACCAATTGCATTTGTGGAGCTAGGGCTCAGATAGGTCTGTACTAGAGATTTAAACTGGGGAGTCATCTACGATGAGTAGTGCAGTAATTAGAGACAGGGAAGCTGAAGAGATTGCTTAAGGAAAGCGAGGAGTGAGGAGAAGATTGCCCAATATCTGGGAGAAAGCTCAAGCTTTCCTTGGCCTTGATTCAGTCTTTCACCTCTTTTTCCTATCTTACTGATCCACACCCCCTACTCTGTGAGATCCAAGTGGAAGTCACAAGGAGAAACATGAAGAAAATAATATAATGGATTGAGGCTGGGCATGGTGGCTCATGCTTGGAATCTCAGCACTTTGGGAGGCCAAAGTGGGCAGATTACCTGAGGTCAGGAGTTCAAGACCAGCCTGGCCAACATGGTGAAATCCCATCTCTACTAAAAATACAAAAATTAGCCAGGTTTGGTGGCACATGTCTATAATTCCAGCTACTCAGAAGGCTGAGGCAGGAGAATGGCTTGAACCTGGGAGGTGGAGGTTGCAGCGATCTGAGATCACGCCATTGCACTCCAGCCTGGGTGACAAGAGTGAAACTCTCTCTTAATAAATAAATAAATAAATAAATAAATAAATAAATAAATAAAATATAATGGATTGAGTTAACCCTTGGGACACCTTCACTTCTTTTTCTTTTTTTTTTTTTACTTAAAAAAATTTTTTATTGACAAAAATTATACATATTTATGGTA